ATAAAGGGAAAATAAATAATAATAATAATACTGATAATTTGTTTTAATAACGACTTACCTTATACCATTTGTTAATATGTTCATTTTTTTCGTGCTCACCCAAAGTTCTCTTATAACAAGAGAATAACAAACGGTCATCGTTATGCTCGGTATAAAAAATATAATAAAAAATTGATAGACGACAAAATCAGGAGAATCACCGGAATTAGTACAGTAATTAAGTGTCAAACTCGTTACGTTATTTGTAAATGTTATTTGATACGTGCTCTATAAACAAACAAAAAAAATAATAATAATAATATGGAAAAACATGGAGGAGAATGAAAGACTTACAAAAAAAATTATTCTTACCGTCGTTAAAACAACAGGAAATGCAAATATCAAAGAAAGAAGCCAAACACTTAAAACAGCTTTTATCATGTTGCTGACGGTGCAAAAAGTTTGAGATTTCATTGGGAAAACAATAACTATGAACCTGAGAAATTGTTTATTATTTTTTTCCCCAAAAAAAAAAAAATTTTAATATCGTAAGGATTAATCGATAAAAAGGTTGTGATGAAATTAAAATTCTTACCTTTCGAGCGTGACGGCAAGAAGATTAAGAACGGATGATGTTGCCGATACCAATTCGGCAAATTTAGCCGTCTTGCAAATGGCTCCCGTTTCATCCCATTTTATGACGAAATGTGTATACGTTTCGAGAGGACCGTAAACGCATAACATTAATAAATCACCAAAAGCTAAACTTACAAGAAAAAAATTTGTCGCACTCCTGAATTTTCTATCACCCGCCATAACGACGATAACAATAACATTACCAAAAACACCAAAAACAAATATTATAACGTGTATTATAATTATTTCGAAAAACATCGGATGAGTTTTCCACGGTTTTAACATTTCTTCCGGTTGTTCCATACAAACGCTATCATTTGGTAACGAATAACTCGAACAATTAAACATGGCGTTTAATAAAATAAATCCTCCTTTAAAATAATTAAAAATTTTTTTTTTTATTAATTTTTAGTATTTCAATTTTTTTTTTGAGGAGGAGGAAGAGGAAAATTGGTTTGGATGATCGAAAACGGATTAAAGTCGGATGATAAGAAAGAAAGAAAGAAAAAAAGAAAGAAGAAGCAGAAGCTTTTTCATCTCACTTCTAAAACGAGATTTGTCCAAAAAATATTTGTTTTACTAAGAATTAAAGAAGGTTGTTCAAGTTGTAATTTAATGTTGGCCCCGCGGGGAGGAGGGGAAGGTAAGAGAATGACATCGGAATCGTCAGCAACATTTTGTCCGTTTTAAAAAAAATATGGAAGCACAAACAACAACCAACAAACAGATTTTTTTTTTTTTAGAAAATGTACAAATGAAAATTAGAATAACAAATTCAACATTTTCGATCAAAAATAAAAAAAAAATAGATGGAAAATTCCCCTCTCCGCTCTCTTTTCCTCCCCCACTCTCTCTCCCCTCTCTCCTTTTAACATCGAAAACCGCTTTTTAAAGGATGATGAACAAAAGAAAAGTATTTTTGGTATCAGGTGTGGCATTTATTTTCAACCAATCGATTCCCCGAAGAAAATTATTTAAATTTAAATTTAAATTTTTAAATTAAAAAAAAAAAAAAATGTTCTCGTTACAAAAAGTCAGTAAACGAAAAAAACCAAAAATTTTTTTTTTTTTTTTTAGTAAAGTTAAAAAAAAACAGAAATTCTCATATTATAATCGATAAAATAATTTCTAGAAAATTCCATTCATATGAATTAAGGTTTTAACCCTTTAAAATATCTCATTAACGTTAATTTTTGTTATATTTGCTTCTTTGGCATAACATTTAAAAATCACAAAACTTTTCCTTTCGTTTTCTTTTTTTTTTAAACTTTTAAATCGTTTCCGGTTTTCCGGATATTCTACCTACACGCACACGAAAAAAAAAGAGAGATGAAGAGAGAGAGAGAGAAAAGTAAAGAAAATAAGTAAAAAGTTTTTTTTTAAATCTTATTTCCTACCTCGGAAAATTTCTTTTTTTTTTTTTTTTTTTTGATAAAATTAACTTGAGAAAAATTTTTATCAAGTTTTTTTAATACTATTTGAAAATTATTCCAATTTTTTTTTTTTTTACCAAAAACAAAAACAAAAAAAAAAATTTTTTAATAAATTAATTAAATTAAAAAAAATTTTTTTTTTAAACGAAAACATTGTTAGTGCGTAAAATATTTTGTATTTTTTTTTTTTTTTAATTAATAATTTCATGTTTCTTGTTTGTTGTTTGTTGTTGTTGTTGTTAATTCACAAACCATGAGTATATAAATAAGTTAAAAATTAACGACTAGAAATTTTTATGTATTCAAAAAAAAAAATTTTTTTTTTTTTTATTAATAATAATATTATTTCCGGATGATAAATTTTTTTAAAAAAATTATCGGCAAACCCATAATAATAATAATAATAATATTAATAATATTTTTGCAACGTCATTTAATTCTGACGTCATAAATTTTATTAAATATGTAAAAAAAACATTTCTCGTTTTGTTTTGTTTTAAATAATGAAAAAAATGGCGACGTAAATATTAAAAAGAGTTGTGGAGTTAATTATATAAAAAAAAAAAATTATGTCGGAAATTTTCCTTTTTTTTTTATAAAAAACTAGATTCAACATTTAAAATAAAGGGGGGGCGAGAGGGTAGAGAGAGAGGGAGAGAGAGGAGGGGGGAAAGTTAAGTGGGTTAAAAGAGATTTTTTTTTAATTCTTAAAATTGGGAATTTTCGTCGAATCTTTTTTTTTTTTTTTTTCAAAATGCCAAATTATTACTATTCAGTCGAAATCCTTTTAAAATTAGAATTTTAAAAAACGTTTAAAAAGAGAAAGAGAGAGAGAAAGAGAAAGAGGAAGAATGAGAAATAATAGAAAATTTATTTTAATTTTCTCTTTATTCTAAACGATTATTTTCCAGGGCGGGTACATACTAAAAAAAAAAAAGGAAAATTTTTTTTTATTTTCTTTCCTTCCCATTTTCTTTTCTTGTTTTTCATTCTATTATTAGACAATAAATAAAATTTTCAGTTTTTCTTTATATTATCATTAACATTTTTTTCCATAGTTAAATAAAATATTTATTTAATAAAAAAAAAGGAAAGAAAAAAAAGGAAAATCGAAATTATTGATTTAATCGATTGATTTGACCTTTCGCAAAATAATAATAAAAATAAAAAAAAATTAATTTTTTTTTCTAACGTCACATTAATTAAATAAACGTTTATATGACTTAGATTATTATTATTATTATTATTATTATTTTATTTTTTGCTTTTTTCTTTTCAATGAAAAATTAAACGTGTCAAAAGAAAAGAAAAAAAAAAAGGTTTAATTTTATATATAAATTTTTTTTTTCTTTTCATTGGCTTTTTTTCTCTCTCTTTTTTTTTATTAATTTTAAATTTTAATAAATAAATAATTATTAACCTTTTTGTTAATAATTATTGAAAAAGAAAAAAAAAACCTTTTCATTTCGTTTTTTTTTTTTTAATTATAACGATTTCTAATGCCACGATGAATTTTTAATAATTTTTTTTTTTTTGTTTTGTGTTTTTGTGTATCAGACCAAAAAAATCTTATTCTTCTTTTTTCTTTATTCTTCTCTCTCTCCCTTTTTTTTGTTAGATTTAAAAAAACGAATTTACTTTATTCCGTCGCCGCCATTTTGTATTTATTTTTTATTTAAATTATTAATAATAATAGTGACGATCTTAATAGAGTAAATAAATTACAAAAAGATTAATTACGGCAAATTTAAAATTAAACCTAAAAAAAAAATTTAGATATTTTTAATTGTGTTAATACTATTATTTTATTATTATCTTTATCATTATTATTATTATTATTATTCATCATTATTATTATTATTTCTCCTTCCTTTATTATTACTAAAAATAACAACGTGAAAACAATCAAAAACATTAAAAACAAATAATAATAACAAACAAGAACTTTGACGACATACGTATAATAATTATTTAACACACCCTTTTTTTTCAATTTCACCCCCCCCACTCACCCTCCCCACATTAATAAACATATAAAATATTTATCGAACTATAAATAATAAATTTTAGGTAAAAAAAAAAAAAAATTTCGAACCCGTTAAAAAATTAAAACTTTTTTTTGCTTTAAACTGTCAATTAACGAATAACGAGGAAGTGAAAAACAAAAAATAAAAAATTAAAATTAATGAATTATTAATTGATTGATTGAATGAATGAATGAATGAATGAATGAATGAATGACTGACCATTTATAATGTCTTAACTATCACAAATCGTTCTTGTTGTTTAGTTTTTAAATAAAAAGGAAAAAGATTATGAATTAAGTTTATTCAATAATTTTTTTTTCCTTTTTTTTTTTTTTTATAAATTATTTATAATAATAATAATGATAATGATGATAATAATAATAATAATAAATTTATTCTATTTTTAAGCATTGGATTTATTTTTTCTCTTTCAACGATAAAATAAAAAAATATTTTTTTTTAAATGAGAAGAAGAAAAGTAGAAAACAAAATTAATTTACATATTTTAATATATATAATAAAATAATGAATAAACTTTTATTAGTAAATAAATAAAAACATTTTATAAGTATTTTAAACGTTATTTTTTCTTAAAATTTAAACAAAATAATAATAATAATTATTATTATTAACATTACGATTGTTTTTCATAACAATGTATATATTTAAATTTTAAATTTGACTTTTAATTTTTCCTTTTTTCCTTTTTCCTTTTTTTCCCTTAAATTTTTTTAAATGAAAGGAAAAAAGTTTTAAAAAATAAATAAATAAAAATTATTGTTGTTTACAAAAAAAAAAAAATTATTTTTAAAGGTCATAAAATTATTGAATAAAAAAATTTTATTTATTTTATTATTATTATTATTATTTATTTATTTTCGGTTTTAAGAACTAAAAAAAATAAAAAATAAAATAAAATAAGAAAAGAAATAAAATAAAATAAAGATTTTTATACTTTTGTGAATTTGCCACACGCGTACCTCCCCCACCCGCACACTCTTTCTCACCCCTTCTCCTTCCTTATTTTCCTTCCCCCTTTTCTACCCCCCCCCCAAAATTTTCTTTCAAACGTTTCGTTACCTTTTCTCGCACTATACATATTTATTAAATTTTTTAATAATATTTTTTGCTTAATTATTTGTAAAAAAATTGTATCATCATCATCATCATCATCATTATTATTATTATTATTATTATTAATCAAAGAATTTATTTAAAAAATTTTTTTAATGTGTAATCGCTACGGATTATTTAAAATCACGCCTTAAAAAAAAATAAAAATAATAAAAATATGGGTGCACTTATATCCAAGTGTGATTCTATAAAAACTCTTCGATTTATTTATGTAAATAAAATTTAAACGACGATTTATTTTATTTTATTTACTCCCCCTTTGACTCCATAAAAATTTATGTAACATTATTATTATTATTATTATTATTATTATTTTTCGACAATAAAAAAAAAGAAAAAAATGACCTCGAAAAATATTTAACGGTTAAATGCAA